TGCGAAGAGGAAGTTGTACCCAAGTAAACACAACTGGTCCTTGGTCCGCCCCACCTGCGGCCCACCTGCGGCCCACCTGCGGCCCACCTTTAGGGCTGGCTGGCAGGGGAACCTCCCAAGGTCACCACTAAACCACTGATCATGCATCAATATTATTCTTCCGTTCCCAACGTTCCGGCCGTTCCCGTGATGAACACATTACCAGGAACACGAGTTATCGTAGCTCGTTCAGACAAGTCGACCGTTTGATAGCAATGATGATAGCGACTATGGTGGACCAGGGGGGGAGGAGGGGAGGGGACGCTGATACTACCACACAATGTGCAAGTTCACCTCTTGGTCTGAACCTTGTGAAGAGCTCACATTGCTCCAAGTTCATAGGTTTACCTCGTGGTCTCATCTCTGGGAAAGGCTGACGCTGCCAGCGGCTTGTCGGAACGTGGCAGTGGCACGTCGGAACGTACCAGCGGCACGTCGGAACGTACCAGCGGCACGTCGGAACGTACCAGCGGCACGTCGGAACGTGGCAGTGGCACGTCGGAACGTACCAGCGGCACGTCGGAACGTACCAGCGGCACGTCGGAACGTACCAGCGGCACGTCGGAACGTACCAGTGGCACGTCGGAACGTAGCAAGAAGACCGGGGAGCACTCTGGCATATCTCTTGGGTCATAATGGTCCCTGATGGCACCTGATAAGCCTGGTTCCCTCTCTGGCAACGCTAAGCTCACTCTTGTCAACAACGACTGATAACACGATAACCACAAGAGGTAAAAATACACAGTGAAGACTCGTACACTATAAAATTGTCTCCCCCCTTTTTTTTATTTTATGTAAAATAGTTTGTTGATGTATACTTGTAATATCTTGGTATTCTTCAGTGTTATCCCGCCAAACACACACCGAAACTACGACGTTGGTACAACGTTCGAACAAGTTTTAACACCTCCTAACCAGTTATAACAACCAATATAGCAAGTTGTAACAACGTTCTAATACGTCATAAACAAGTTAAGCCAAGATGTAACAACTTTATTACACGTTGTAACAAGCGGAAAATAGAGACAGTTTCGGTTTGTGTTTCCAGGGATACAGCTTTGTGTTCTCACTGCCATACTGCATTGAGTTTGTGTTGTATGATAATCTACTGTATTCATCACAGTTGTATTGTATTATTCGGTAGTGTTCTGTCAATTCCCCTGTTTGTTTTCTGTTTAATATCACCTGCTTGTGCTTTCTATACGTTCTAAGTTCGACCTCTCTCAAATAATCTTAGATATTAAATTCAGTACTTCATATTTGATGCGATATTCACACTTATTTATAAAATGGATTGAAATGATTCTTGTACAACTCAAGTCTCTACAGCACGACTATGGTGGAGGCAAAGTTGGTAGATGGTAGTTACTGCAGTGTAAGGTAGATAATATTATGTGGAGTAGATAATACAGTGTATTGTAGATAATAGTGTATTGCAGATAGTACAGTGTAAGGTAGATATTGCAGTATGGAATAGATAACATAGTGTGAAGTAGACACTTCAGGGTGTAGTAGATTCTACATTGTAGAGTAGATAATAAAGTATAAAGTAGGTACTACAGTGTATAGTAGATATACAAAATAAATTACCCAGTGCAGAGCAGATAATGCAACATTAAAAATACAATGCAATATACAGTATACTTTACACTGCAATAAGTACCCAATAGATACTTTAATAGTGAAATACCGAACCTTCAAAGTAGACGATGTAGTACCGATAGTAGATAGTGGAGCACAGGTAGTACAAAGTGGATAGTAGAAACAGCACATGATGTAATACAATACTGCGTAGATAATACACTACCATCATCTACGCGGTATTAGGAAGGTTGGTCTATGGCGGTTGGCTACAATAAATTAGTATGTCACATATGCACTTATTAATAAGCCAATATGGACTAATAAGCAAGTACGAGAACGGGTTGACGGCGGAGACGTAAGAGGTCTTTCTAGATCAACATAAGAGAGGGCCAAGCATCCACCGAGAACACAAGGAGATAAGACGCTCTCTTTACTCCAACACACAACAGTCAGAACGTTTATTTACCACACACCCGAAATATGCCCAATTTGAGAAAGCATTTGGGGCGATCTGGCGACCAAATCACCACTTCAACAATCCCCAACAATCTTGTAAATGAATGGCAAAATATACCCCCAATAGTATTCAACAAATGTATAAGGTGATTATGAGGAAAAAGCATTAAACCAGTATGATCACATGACATTTAGAAGGGATGTGTCAAAAGCATTAAACCAGTATGATCACATGACATTTAGAAGGGATGTGTCAAAAGCATTAAACCAGTATGATCACATGACATTTAGAAGGGATGTGTCAAAAGCATTAAACCAGTATGATCACATGACATTTAGAAGGGATGAGTCAAAAGCATTAAACCAGTATGATCACATGACATTTAGAAGGGATGTGTCAAAATATGTGAAGAATCGTTTCTTTGATACTGATAACTGCGAAGAAATTGTGTACGTCTAGTTTGTATATGTATATCCACTTCTAGTTTGTATATGTATATGCACTTCTAGATTGATATTTATATATGCACTTCTACTTTGTATATGTATATATGCACTTCTAGTTTCTTTGTTATATCGATTTGTGAAAAAAGTAGAGTAGATAATGCAGTGTTTTGTATAAAAATAGTGAGGATAAAACAGCTAAAACTGGTGATATAATAGATAATAATAATATGCATATCCGTGGTGTGTGTGTGGTGTGTGTGTGGTGTGTGTGTGTGTGGTGTGTGTGTGGGTGTGTGTGTGTGTGTGTGTGTGTGTGTGTGTGTGTGTGTGTGTGTGTGGAGGTGTGTGTGTGTATGTGTGTGTGTGTATGTGTGTGTGTATGTATGTGTATGTGTGTGTGTGTGTGTGTGTGTGTGTGTGTGTGATGTGTGTGTGTGTGTGTGTGTGTGTGTGTGTGTGTGTGTGTGTATGTGTGTGTGTGGGTGTGGTGTTGTGTGTGTGTGTGTGTGTGGTGTGGTTGTGTGGGTGTGTGTGTGTGTGTGTGTGTGTGTGTGTGTGTGTGTGTTTTTGAATGTGTGTACTCACCTAGTTGTACTGAGCTAGTTGTGCTTGCGGGGGGAGAAGCTTCAGCTCTTTGGTCCCGCCTCTCAACTGTCAAATCACAACCACTGTGCAGGTTTCTTGAGACTTAAAAGACTCCATCATAAGTGTGTGTGTGTGTGTGTGTGTGTGTGTGTGTGTGTGTGTGTGTGTGTGTGTGTGTGTGTGTGTGTGTGTGTGTGTGTGTGTGTGTGTGTGGTGACCCACACACTACCCTCATGTGTGGATATGTAAAACCCTACACACCAAGCCACTCCTAATCAACACGTTTCCCTCTCCCCAGATCACCGCTGCCACCAACAGTAGCAGCAACAGCAACAGTAGCAGCAACAGGAACGGTAGCAACAGGAGGCGCAGGCCGAGGAGCAGCACCAGCGGCCAGAGCAGGACCTCAGGATCAATGTTGGCCACCATGTCCCTCTCGGAGGCCATGGTGACGTCATCCAGTGGGCGGGAGGAGGCGGCGCTACGTGCCGAGATGGGCGGGGCCACGGTGGGCGAGGCCACGCCCACCGCCCACACCCCAACACTGAGGCCGCCCCACACGGGCCTCGACGCCGCCGCCGGCAACACCACCGGTAACTCCTCCTCTTCTTCCTCCTCCTCCACCTCCTCCGCCCACCATCACCAGGACCTTCCCGCCCTCACGCCGGAGCTCCTATCCTCCGACGCCCTCTCCCCGGCACACCTATCCTCCTCCCCGCCCATATTCTCCCCGCCCGCCCTAGCCTCCGCTCCCCCGGTGTATTCTCCCATCTCTCCTGCCGCGGGCAGAACGGAAGCCAACTTTTTCTTCCCGTGTGGGAGCGGCGCCCCCCACTACACCCCAACGTCCCCCTGCGGGAGCGGCGCCCCCCATTACACTCCAACGTCCCCCTGTGGGAGCGGCGCCCCCCACTACACCCCGTCCTCGACGCTGTCGACCACCTGCCGCGCCTCCCCCGAGACGGAGATTATCAAGAACAACTTACTGGGGTCCCGCCACAGGGACACCAGGTACAACTCCGTGGCCGAGTCCGAGGGCGGCTCCGTGTCCGACTGTACGGAGGGGGAGAGGTCGCCCACACTGCAGGTATGTTGCCTCCACGGTGTATGGGGGGAGGGTGTGGGTGTTGGGGTGTGTGGGGGGGAGGGTGTGGGGGGGGTGTGGGTGTGTGTGTGTGAGTGTGGGTGGGTGGGTGGGTGGGTGTGGGTGTGGGTGTGTGTGGGTGTGGGTGTGTGTGGGTGTGTGTGTGTGTGGGTGTGTGTGTGTGTGTGTGTGTGTGTGTGTGTGTGTGTGTGTGTGTGTGTGTGTGTGTGTGTGTGTGTGTGTGTGTGTGTGTGTGTGTGTGTGTGACCAACAGGAAAGAAAAAAAAAACGAAATCCTCCACAGGTAATGTGTGTTTATGTATATACCACACACACACACACACACACACACACACACACACACACACACACACACACACACACACACACACACACACACACACACACACACAGTGACCTGTATGGAAAGTGATTCATAGACATCATGTACCGATTCATCTAAACTGGTGTTTGAGGATGAAACAATGCGAGTGAATTAGCAGTTAGAACCTATGCATCTGCGTCTAACAGTACCAGTTCTTAGTTGTTGTTGACCTCATTGTTGCTAAGAGTTATTGCAACACCTTGAAGGAGCATTTCAAGACAATACATGAGATGAAGTGAGGGACAGGCCTCTAGTGGAGCATATGGTCCTCAGGCAAGCCCAGGCCATGATCGTCTGACATTTGAGCATATATGACATCCTGCTGGAGCGCCAATCCTGGGGGTTCCCGGTTTCTTGGCACCACCACCGAGGCACTGCCTGGCCCCACTACCGAGGCACTGCCTGGCACCACTACCGAGGCACTGCCTGGAACCACTACCGAGGCACTGCCTGGCCCCACTACCGAGGCACTGCCTGGCACCACTACCGAGGCACTGCCTGGCACCACTACCGAGGCACTGCCTGGCCCCACTACCGAGGCACTGCCTGGCCCCACTACCGAGGCACTGCCTGGCACCACTACCGAGGCACTGCCTGGCACCACTACCGAGGCACTGCCTGGCCCCACTACCGAGGCACTGCCTGGCCCCACTCCCGAGGCACTGCCTGGCACCACTACCGAGGCACTGCCTGGCACCACTACCGAGGCACTGCCTGGCCCCACTACCGAGGCACTGCCTGGCACCACTACCGAGACACTGCCTGGCACCACTACCGAGGCACTGCCTGGCACCACTACCGAGGCACTGCCTGGCACCACTACCGAGACACTGCCTGGCCCCACTACCGAGGCACTGCCTGGAACCACTACCGAGGCACTGCCTGGCAGCACTACCGAGGCACTGCCTGGCCCCACTACCGAGGCACTGCCTGGCACCACTACCGAGGCATTGCCTGGCACCACCACCGAGGCACTGCCTGGCAGCACCACCACCAAGACACTGCCTGGCCCCACCATCGAAGCAGTGACCGGCCGTGCCCTACACCCACACTACACAGACGAAGTGTTGGCGAGGGTGTAAGGCAGTGATAATGATAGATAACAAACAGTCGGACAGAGAGAGAGAGAGACACACACAGGTAGTCAGTAGTGGTGGTGGTCCAGTGGATGGTATAGCCAGTGCTGACACCTCGCTCGAACACCGAGTCCTAGCCAGCAGCCCTCCCCCCCTCGCCCCTCATGCCTGTCTGTCTATCTGTCTGTCTGTCTACCTCTTACCCCTCCCGAGGACAGCTAAGTAACGGGGGGAAGGCGTCCCCTGCCACGAAGGTCGACTTACCACGAGAGTGAGAGACGGTTCTATGGTCTGTCTGTCTCTTTCTCCACGCCGTCAGAACGACGCTTCCTCGCCACCGACGTCAACGCGACGTTGATACGACGCCAGAGAGACGACGGTGATCAAGAAGCAAGATCGTCAGCAACAGTGGGTAGGGTGGTGCTACCATGGTGGTGATAGTGTTTGTGGTGGTGCTACCATGGTGGTGATAGTGTTATGGTGGTGTTACCATGGTGGTGATAGTGTTGTGGTGGTGCTACCATGGTGGTGATAGTGTTGTGGTGGTGGTGTTACCATGGTGGTGATAGTGTTGTGGTGGTGCTACCATGGTGGTGATAGTGTTGTGGTGGTGTTACCATGGTGGTGATAGTGTTGTGGTGGTGCTACCATGGTGGTGATAGTGTTGTGGTGGTGTTACCATGGTGGTGATAGTGTTGTGGTGGTGATAGTGTTGTGGTGGTGTTACCATGGTGGTGATAGTGTTGTGGTGGTGTTACCATGGTGGTGATAGTGTTGTGGTGGTGTTACCATGGTGGTGATAGTGTTGTGGTGGTGCTACCATGGTGGTGATAGTGTTGTGGTGGTGCTACCATGGTGGTGATAGTGTTATGGTGGTGTTACCATGGTGGTGATAGTGTTGTGGTGGTGATAGTGTGGTAGTGATGGCACCACACGTGTCACGGTATAATTAACCACGTGTGATAATAACTTACCCTCGTGGTGTCCCGTCTTCCCAATAATCTTTGTCATTGGACACTGAAACTACTGCCCTCCGCCACCTTAGCCCAACCGTCTACCACTCTTCACGCAAAACAAAATTTTCTAATATTTTTCGGCACTTCCCTTGAATCTATGACCAACTATGAAGTTGCAGATGTCAAGAATTCCCCCCCTTGTCTATTTTGTGGATTTTGTATGTAGTGATCATATCTCCAGCTCATGTTTGGAAGATAATGAGACTATTTGCCCCAACTGCTCTCTTTCTCTCTAGTTCCTTCAACAGGTTTTTTGGGGCTCGACTTTTGAAAGAAACAGAATATTTTGACCTAAAGTCGATATTGAAGCTGATTCGTTGAATGGTTTATTCCTCACGAACACACCCTGGACACTATCACTATCACTATCACCACCATGGGGGGGATTGTGTAAAACCCTGGTTTGTGTCTCGGAGAGGCTGCAGGACCCAAGTAAGTTCAGTAGAATTTCTGGTTGCAATTCTTATACCATGTCGTAGCTCAGTCGATTATGGCAGCGTCTGGGATGCTCTTGGACGCAGGTTCGAATCCTCATCACGGCCCTTGTGGATTTGTACACTCTGGAGCTGTTCGTCTAACGTTGCACACACACAGTTCCCTTTCAGTCTCTGTGAGTCTGTTTCTCATTTGTAATCTTTGGAGTTTGTCTTTGTCGAGGGAGCCGGCCGGCCGGCCGAGCGGACAGCACACTGGACACGTGATCCTGTGGTCCCGGGTTCGATCCCGGGTGCCGGCGAGAAACGATGGGCAGAGTTTCTTTCACCCTATGCCCCTGTTACCTAGCAGTAAAATAGGTACCTGGGTGTTAGTCAGCTGTCACGGGCTGTTTCCTGGGGGTGGAGGCCTGGTCGAGGACCGGGCCGCGGGGACACTAAAGCCCCGAAATCAACTCAAGATAACCTTGGTTCTGTTTAACCTTTGTCCGCTCTTTTGGGTTACTGGACGGTGTTGACGTGTTCTCTGATCTTCTGCTACCTGTTATCCTATTGCCCATGCTAATTGGTAGCCAAACTTGATACCATCTTGATGGTGTAATGGTGATTGTGTATTGTGGTGGTGATGGTGTATTGTGGTGGTGATGGTGTATTGTGGTGGTGATGGTGTATTGTGGTGGTGATGGTGTATTGTGGTGGTGATGGTGTATTGTGGTGGTGATGGTGTATTGTGGTGATGATGGTGTATTGTGGTGGTGATGGTGTATTGTGGTGGTGATGGTGTATTGTGGTGGTGATGGTGCATTGTGGTGGTGATGGTGTATTGTGGTGGTGATGGTGCATTGTGGTGGTGATGGTGTATTGTGGTGGTGATGGTGTATTGTGGTGGTGATGGTGTGGCTGTGGTGATGATGGTGTATTGTGGTGGTGATGGTGTATTGTGGTGATGATGGTGGGGCTGTAGTGGTGACACCATGGTGATGAAGATGTGTTGTGGAGGTCCTACCATAATAGTGATGGTACCATAATGTATATATTACCGTGATGGTACTATAGTATCAGCAGTTACCATGGTACAATGGTAGTAATACCATTGACAAACATTGTGAAATTTTGAAGGAAAACAAAAATTATGAAAATGTTGCACTTCTTCATATCTACTTCACTACCACTACTCTTCCTTCCCTCTCTCTTCCCTCTTCCTTTCTACCTATCTCCTCTCTTCCTCCCCCTCTCTCTTCCTCCCCCTCTCTCCTCCTCCCCCCCCCCTCTCCTGTGTTTGTTGTTTGCTAAAGATTATCAGATTGATAAGCAGAAGGTTCTGTATTCCGAGACACTAAGCGCTCAAGGCACAACACTCCACTTAAGCACCAACAATTGACTTGTACATACAAGACACTCAAGTGATAAACTATACTTGTTGACTTGTGTATACTGTGGCTGTAATATATATATATATATATATATATATAATATATATATATATATATATATATATATATATATATATATATATATATATATATATATATATATACACACACACACACACACGTCTCTCTCCCTTACACTCAGACTGACTCACTCTCTCACACATGTACGTAACGTGATCTGTCTTGGAAGGAACACTTAGATAACAACACCCACTTAAACTTAAGGAGCACACAAGGAACACCTGCGTCTTCACTGTATACTGGCGGAACACTATCATCTTCACGGAACACCAGGAACTTCACGAAACACCAGGATCTTCACGGAACACTAAGATCTTCACGGAACAATCTTGATCTTCACGGAACACTAAGATCTTCACGGAACAATCTTGATCTTCACGGAACACCAGCGTCTTCACGTATCACAAGTCACGCCCTTGGCTACTCGACCCTCAAGCAACACAACGTCTCATGTGTGTACACGGAACACAAGATCACACGTGAAATGCCGCCACCGTAGTTATCGTGTTTGAGTGGCAATTAAATATTTTGACTGATAAAAAACTTCTATAACATTAACTATGACAGATCGTAGCGTCCATAATTTACCTCAGTTTCCCCCACCTGTAAATATTCCTCGTTCTCTATGTGAGCTCCGGACTAGACTCTAAAATTGAATTTAGATTATCTAAATTGTCTAACTCTCGGTGTGTTTATATGTACTTCCCGGTGCCTGTAGCCTCCTCAGTACTTCCTTTGTCAGTGCCCAGTACTTCCCACTCACCGTAGCCTCCACGGTACTTTCCTTGTCACTCACCCCATGATTTGACCGGTACTTCCCGGCCTCAAGCGTACTTTCCTTATAACAAATACTACTTCTATCTAGTTTCGTCTCGCCCTCGGGTCACTTCCCGCGACGGCACTAACCCTGCACGTGTCCTCCTCCCACAGGTGTACTCCCCGGAGATGGATAGGGAGGCGTTCTCCGGGGTTCGACCCCCGCAGCCCCTAGAGATGTTCAACATGGACCTTCACCACTACGACGTGCCTAAGTGAGTACCCCTGCTTGTGTGTGCTTTGTTCAACAACGTTCGTGTTCAGGTCTTCCCGAAATTAAATCGACTCACAAAAGTGACGTACTGTTCCGTTTTCTGTTTGAGTCGTCCGGCTTACTCGGAAAGGTTAGAAGAGGAAACTTTCAATTAACGTTTTTCATACCGTTTTGAAACTTTATGATAATTTCCTGCCCACCTAACCTATCAGAGGATCCTTAACTTACTGTTGTTGAAAAAAAATCCCAAATTTATTTTCATTTTTTTTAATTTTCAAATTACGTTCATATTCGGCCATACGGGCAAACGGCCTAAAGCGACGTTCTTTTTAAGAGGACAGGTTGTACTTGTGTGTGTGTGTGTGTGTGTGTGTGTGTGTGTAAGTGAACACAAATCCAGGTATTGAAATGTTACACCCCGCCCAGTGTTCATTATGGGAATTGTTCACACGAACACTTGTTTTAGTCTCAAGTGTTCAACCTTCCCTAAGGAGTGTTCAGCAACAGGTGCTCATTTTGGGGCTTTATACGCTCTGTTTGAACACTTTACTCTTCTGTCTACCGTCCAACCACTTGGGCTTGACGGTATAGAGCGACGGTCTCGCTTCATGCAGGTCGGCGTTCAATCCCCACGACCGTCCACAAGTGGTTGGGCCACCATTCCTTCCCCCCGACCCATCCCAAATCCTTATCCTGACCCCCTTCCCAGTGCTATATAGTCGTGAAGGACTTGGCGCTTTCACCTGATAGTTCTCCCCTTTCCTTTCCTACTCTTCTCAAGTGTTCGATTACGGTGCTCAAGTGTTCGTTTACGGGGCTCAAGTGTTCGATTACGGTGCTCAAGTGTTCGTTTACGGGGCTCAAGTGTTCGTTTACGGTGCTCAAGTGTTCGTTTACGGTGCTCAAGTGTTCGTTTACGGTACTGCTACATGGTGTTCGGATGATGCGGTGTTCGAGTTCACATTCTTCCTTACGTTCGAATCGGCTTCATTCCAAGCAAATCTACGCTTTTTTTTACAGGCTAAAGTAGCAGCACATTGCTGTCTACCCGTCTGGTGTGGTGACCTGTCTATACCCGTCCAGTGTGGTGACCTGTCTATACCCGTCCAGTGTGGTGACCTGTCTATACCCGTCCGGTGTGGTGACCTGTCTATACCCGTCCGGTATGGGTGACCTGTCTATACCCGTCCGGTGTGGTGACCTGTCTATACCCGTCCGGTGTGGTGACCTGTCTATACCCGTCCGGTGTGGGTGACCTGTCTATACCCGTCCGGTGTGGTGACCTGTCTATACCCGTCCGGTATGGGTGACCTGTCTATACCCGTCCAGTGTGGTGACCTGTCTATACCCGTCCGGTGACGGTGACCTGTCTATACCCGTCCGGTGACGGTGACCTGTCTATACCCGTCCGGTATGGGTGACCTGTCTATACCCGTCCAGTGTGGTGACCTGTCTATACCCGTCCGGTGTGGTGACCTGTCTATACCCGTCCGGTGACGGTGACCTGTCTATACCCGTCCGGTGACGGTGGCAGCTGTCTCGTGCACTTACCGTGTGGCCAGCGGCCGTAATCTGGCACGGTACGCGTCCTTGCTGTTGTGTGTGGCCTCTATCGCTTTCCCATTCATCGGCATCTGTGTTGATATCTGACCAACGCATCCTCCCGATACGAGGAGGAAGGAATTATCAGGGTAAGCGTCAAGCCCTTACGACTATATAGCGCTGGGAAGCGGTCAGGATAAGGATTTGGGATGAGACGGGTGACGGGGGGGGGGGAGGAATGGTGGCCGTAATCACTTACTTGGACAGTCGGGGATTGAACGCCGACCTGCAGGAGAAGGTGGCGACCAGTCTCGGAACAGTGAAGTTGGAAGTGGAGAACCAGGAGGAAACGGAAGGAGGAGAAAGAGAAAAAAACGATGGAGAACAGATTAAAATATGAGGGAAAGATAGAAAAAAAACAAAAAAACAAAAAAATTCGCCTTGTTTACACTTGAAACTTGTCAGCAAAGAGTGCAGATGCTAACAAACATCCGCTGAGTGCCTCCTCATATCCTTAAGTCCCTCCGGATCACACTTATACCTCTTACCCCCTAAAAATTTCCTTGAAACCCTTCCACATTTCCCCCCCTTTTCCATTCCCAATTACCTGTCCCATATACAAACACCTCTTCCCTCCCGCTATAGGTTCACGCAGCCCCCATGCACCATCACCTATCTCCGTTCCAAGTCTGCTATTACCACTCACGGTCACCTATTCCAAGTCTACTCTAGTACATCATTCCCATTTAAACTTTCAAACTCTAATCCAGACTAACCTGTTTCGTTTGATGTCAAATTCTCCCCATTTCCAGCCCTATTTTAAATATTCAAAGCTACGTATTCTACGTATATAATTCTATTCCTAAATTATTCCCTTTTCAATAAAACATTCCTCTTACAAATTACCCATTCCCATCTCATGTTACCCCATTTCCATTATAAATTCCATATCCTCGTTCTAAAGCACATGTTCCAATTACAGCTACCATTAATCTATTCCCAGACTATTCCCAAATTCCCACTCACGCGTTCCTATTCCCAAATCCGCAAAGCTGGTTCAAAGTTCTGTGCGTCTTCAAACTGGTCTTTGACCCAGTTCAAAGGTGGGAAGATGCCACAACGCTTTTGAAGGAGACACATTATGTTGCTGTTGTTAAAAGATTCGCTACCTGGAACATAAAGTTCCAAGTAGCACGGGCTATGGAGAGCCCGTAGGCCGGAGACACATTAAAGCTTCAGGAAAAGATGGAGGTAAAATACCCTGAAGGGAGACAGATAGACAGACACGCCAACAGTGAGATTGTACAGTGAATCAACGGATGAGCGATACGGGCTGATATAACTCTCTCTCTCTCTCTTTCTTGGGACATTCTTGAAGGATTCTCCTTAGTTTCCCAGTCAGTTTTGATTATTTTTAGGATTTTTTGTTTTCTTTTGACATCATGAATCTCTGCAATTAAGATTGGATACATATTTTTTTGGATAGTGTATCCGTATTATTTTTTACGTGAATTGTTTTGGCTCTGTTTAATTCAATATATTATTGAATTAAATTATTATATAGAAATATTATATATTTCTCCTCACGTATATATATATATATTATATATATTATATATATATATATATATATCTGCCCGCCATCTGAGGTGGAGGAGGCTGTACAACTTGTGTGACAAGTAGTCTTGTACCCAGCATGTAACCAATGTTGTAATCCTTTTTGTGTAATGAAATTTTAAAATAAAGTTAGATATACACACACACACACTAAAAGAATAGGGGTGGTAGGGGAAGAAAATATCAAAGTGTTCAGTGAGGATCCACAAGGTCTTCTCTGAGTACTCATTATTTTCTTCTCCGAGGCTATGGGTCCCTACACTTGCACCAGAGGTGGTACCCCTTTTAAGTATATTATATATATATTATATATATATATATATATATATATATATATATATATATATATATATATATATATATTATATATATATATATATATATATATATATATATATATATGCGGAAAACCTACATGTGAAAAATAGAGACTGCTAAACGCGTTTTCGGCTCAATTCGCCTTCATCAGAACAAAATACAAATACTTCAGGTATTTTTGTAAAAGTATCAGAAATACAAATAGTTCTTTTAAAAAAAAAAGTATACCCTGGATACACCTCTATATGTCGTTGGGGTGGTAGACGACATTATACAACACCCCGAGTACCTTTTATTCTTTTCTTTGAGGCTAAGGGTCCACATTAGCTCAACCACAGATTGAGAGTCCAATCAGTCTTATAACACCCACCATACAATCACCATAGAAAAGTTTGGAAAGTATTAAACTAACCGCAAGCTTCGAACCAGCGGTTAACATTCTTCTATAGATTAGTTTATTAACTTCGTCCTTGTCTGTATGAGGTTAACAATTAGCCCGTTGCCTCAGAGCCGGTCCAGTGAGGTTAACTGTTAATCGCCGGCTGTTATCTACGGGTTATCAGTGAAAATCAAGGTAGCACAGATAAGAGTGATTAGGGAGGCGGTCACCTGACGGGCCATGCTTGTGACACCCGCCACCTTAACCACCTTCCCCCTCGTGTTGAACAGCCTCGTTACGTCTCTGCCACCGAGAGGCCGGGGGGGGGGGCTGTTGGGTAGTTATGGTAGTTTGTGATACTCGGGTGGTTAGCTCTTAGATGTGTTGCTGTGGTGGTCTGTGGCGGGGTTCAGGGTCGCGGGGTTGGGGTAACGGGGTTAGTGGACGTTTTCAAGCTTTGAGTTATCTGTGGGGTGGATATGCGAGTGTGGGTTGATGGATATGTGAGTGTGGGTGGTGGATATGTGAGTGTGGGTGGTGGATATGTGAGTGTGGGTGGTGGATATGTGAGTGTGGGTGGTGGATATGTGTGGGTGGTGGATATGTGTGGGTGGTGGATATGTGAGTGAGGGTTGATGGATATGTGAGTGTGGGAGGTGGATATGTGAGTGTGGGTGGCGGATATGTGAGTGTGGGTGGTGGATATGTGAGTGTGGGTTGATGGATATGTGAGTGTGGGAGGTGGATATGTGAGTGTGGGTGGTGGATATGTGAGTGTGGGTGGTGGATATATGAGTGTGGGTGGTGGATATGTGAGTGTGGGAGGTGGATATGTGAGTGTGGGTGGTGGATATGTGTGCCCGTGTGGTGGTGGTGGTGGTCGTGGATATGTGAGTGCGGGTAGTGGATATGTGCCCTCGGGTGGTGGTACAGCCCAGATATATGAGTGCGGGTAGTGGATATGTGCACTCGGGTGGTGGCACAGCCCGTCCTCATAAACAAAGACCAAATGCTTGTTAATCCAACCCGTCCTCCTAAGAACAAATCCACAAGGGCCGTGACGAGGATTCGAACCTGCGTCCGGGAGCATCACAGACACTGCCTTAATCGACTGAGTCGATTAAACCGTCCTCCTAAGGTTTCAC